TTTATATACAAAACATTAAACATTAAAATAATATTTCTTATATACAATTTTAGTGTTATACATTAGTATTTTATATAAAATGTTTTGCATACTACACATTTTATAAAGCTTGATTCATTTAAATTAACTTAGCTTAATAATATTATTTAATAATATTATTATTTTTTTAATAGATTTCTGTTTTTTGGACGAGATATTAGTTAATTGTATTATGTATGTGTGTTTATATGTGAATGTGTAGCATGTAGGGACATACATCACAAAGCGCATGCGCAGAAAGGAATACTTTATGTATCGTTTCGTACATAAGAAATGAAGACGCCTTATACATAAGGAGTTAGCAGTCTAGTAATATATAGAAGTCTGTGGATGCAACGTAGGGAAAATTAAAAAAATAAACAAATTCACTAGAGCATTTACAACCGCATTGATCTATTTTCATTGCTAAATAATTCGATAAATTATCTTATTTCTGTAAATCCATTACATTACATGATATACAATTAATGTCCAGATGAAACAAAAAAATAATACGTGACATAGTGAAAATTACAAAGTAAGCCAGTTTACCAAGCTGTTGATCAATCGATGTTTTAGTAAAGTTTTTACTCGTTTTTGTAATTTTCACTACTTTGCATGATATGCAATATTATACTTTAAACACTGTGTTTATATATCATTTGTTATATTACCGTCTTTTTCTAATTTGCTAGAGAATTTATCTGGTGTCTCTTTCATGTTGTCGCCTTTTTTTTAATGTGCTAGGGAATTTTGTCTAGTGTATTTTTCATGTTGTCGCTTTTCCCTAAACCTCGTCGTCATTCAAACATTTCATTCCTAACCTATATAAAATTTGCAAACAAGTATTGAACCAACTAAATGTCACGTGGTTGAAGGCACGTTAAATACACCATAATTTAAAAAAAAAGAAAAAAGCAAACAAGTATTGAATGTAATTAAACACATTTTGATATCTGCGAGAAGAATGAGTTTCCGCAAAACCAAGAAAATTATAGAAGAGGGAGATGTTGTTATCTTGTACTTAAGTCCAAACAAGATGCATTCTCTGGAAGTCAAAGCAAAAATTTCTAACAAAAAGGACGAGATTGTGGATAATGTGTTTCAGACCACATATGGCGCATTGAAAGTTATTTCTCTTATCGGACAAAAGTATGGTTCAAAAGTGAAATTGACTCGTGGTTGGGCATATGTATTACAGCCAACGCCAGAACTTTGGACGTTGACACTGCCGCATAGAACGCAAATTATCTATAGTCCAGATATAAGTCTCATTATACATTTAATGGAACTGAAACCTGGAAGTGTAATTATCGAAACAGGTTCGAAGATAGTTTAGATATAAAAGTATAATAAAGATTACACACACACATACGCGCGCGCGCGCACAGAGGAAGAGAGCGTGCATGTGTGTATGTTTCTAAGTAATCACCATACTTATCATTTTAAGTTTGTTCAGTCTAGGCCATTTTTTTATTCTGATGTAAACTCCACAACTTGCACCTGCAATTACATGATTTCATCTTTCCTCCATTTTCATTAAACTTCTTACCAGCCAAAAATATTTTAGAAATAAAAATGAAAATCTTGGTAAAAATAAATTTTTTAGTTAAACAACTGCTGCTTATGTGACTTCTATGATATGCAATCTACTATCACCTAGTAAGCAGGTGTCATATGTCAGCATTATTTATCTTTTGTTCCAAATTGCATACTCAAATTTTTTCAATGTTTGAAATCTACTATGAAACATCTAAAAAGTTTGATGACAAAAAATGAGATTACTGATTGGAGTGCACAAACTAATCTGACGATGTAAAAATTTGTGTCTAGGCCACAAACATATCTTGACAAGAAATGATTACGTAGAAAATAACTAAATATGTATACTAAGAATATTTTTACTCAATTTTGTAATATTCTGTTTTGTGCTTGTATATTTATTTTTTTGATAGCATAATATTTATCTTTGAAGGAAAAAATTTTAATCTTTATGATTTAGGTACTGGCAGTGGCTCTCTATCTCATTCACTTATCCGAACAATACGTCCAAATGGTCATTTGTACACTTTCGATTTTCATGAACAACGCGTATTTATTGCCAGTGCAGAATTTGAAAGACATGGTTTAAGCAATTATGTAACTTTGAGAAAAAGAGATATTTGCTTAGAAGGATTTGGAGAAGACCTGAAGCACAAGGTTGACGCAGTCTTTTTAGACCTTCCACATCCATGGTTAGCTATAGAACATGCTACTATTGCTTTGAAAGAAAAAGGTAAGAATGCCTTTGAATTTAATTTCTTTAATCTTTAAAATGTATTGATGAATATTTTTATGACAAAAATATATTGCTATCTACGTGCGAGTATTGTCTGCAGTGAAGATTACAATACGTAAAGATATAAGTAAACTTAATGATGTAGTTACGCATCGCACAGAGTAAGACAAATTGTATGTTCTGCATATATCTATTATGCAGGATATGTAACATTAACTATTATTTAACAGGTGGAAAACTCTGCTCTTTTTCTCCTTGCATCGAGCAAGCTCAGCGTACTTGTGCAAAACTGATCTGTGAAGGATTCATAGAATTAAATACATATGAATGTTTGCAAAGAGAAATGAACGTTCAATATAGATCTTTATCAGTGCTGGATTTGGAATGTCTAAAATACAAGGTTTGTCCATTTTATTTGAAGATACAGATATGTATATTTATAGGATGTGTCATTTGAAAATTGATCGCTAATAGTTATCATAGGTTTTTAAAATTGCTGAATTCGAATCTAATCAAAATTTTCAAATCCAATATGACAAGTCTAACAGAATAATGGATAATTTAAAAGAATTCTCTATTCTCTTTAAATTTGATGTGTACGAGTTTTTATGGTTATTTAATTCAAAACTGACACCATTTTTAAATTCATGAAAATGTTATTCGTATGAAACAAAAAAATTATTGAATTTTGAAATTTTACTTTGTACATCATATTTAAATTAAGTATGAACACTTTTTTCATTCATTTCATTACATTTTACCTCAAGTTTTTCAATTTTTACTCTTAACTTACAAATTTGTATCTTAATTTTTAAATTATGGATTTCTAAAATTCTCTGAAAAGAAAGAACTTTTGCATAAAACCTTTTTCGATTTCCTGACTGTTACATTGGGTTTATAATTCAGGATCACAGAATTTTGATCACAGAATTTTTGAATGTAGCATCCCGAAAAATCCCGAAATACTGTTTTTACATAAATTCGGGGTAAATTAGTTCTTTCTTCATAGAAATTATTTTGAGTAATAAAGCGTTTTTATTTCTCAACACTTAAAAAGGTACTTACACATGTAAAATACATGCAAAAATTAAATGTTATATTAAATATGGCAATGAAAACCTATGGTATGGGTATGAAATCTCTACACTGAATTCATGGAATCAATGGAATATTGAAATGTGCGTAATATAGGATTGATACAAAATTAATTCTCTCGTCTTTCTTTTGTTATTTTGTGAGATTTTATTTCAGTAATTTTCTTATGAGATTCGTTAACGGGCAAGGTTTTAGAACAAATTAAAAAATAATACATTGATCAGAAATATTTCAAATAACAGATTGAAATACAAACTGAAAAATAAATATATGTTTATTCAATTGTAGCACACGAATGAGGATATGGCACGAAAGAATAAAAAGAAGCAAGAAGAAAAACTCCTTACAGCTATTCACACCGAATCATTACCTGGTCACACAGGTTTTGTTACAATCGCCACTCTTCCCCCTTGTTATGCGCGCAAACAAGAAAAAAGAGAATCGAGTTAACAGTGTGGAGATCAAGATTAAAATCAGACGAACGAAAGACTGAAAAGTAGAAAACACTAAACCCTGTGCACCCTAGAACACACCTTCCTACATAAGCTTAGCACAAGCTCACAGGTCGATGAAAAAGGCAGCAGGTTAGCTGTGTCTTTCCGTCGTAGGACACATTGATGGGCCTTTATCTTTGATGTGACACATCTACGAACAATTGTATGAACGGACCTTTTATTTTGTTGTTTCATATTTTTCTTGCATGAGATTTTCAGACTGTATTTGTCGTGAACTTATTAAAATAGATTGTTTAGCTGTACGAGCTGACATTGATTGTACAAAACGTTACTCAGAGTGTATGACATATAGAGATAATCTATGTTAGGTTTCTCTTTTATATACCTTTTTTCCCCTTAATTATTTGTTAAGATAGAACTAGCAGTTTCAGATAATGTAATAATTATTGGAGAAAAAAAATTAGTTTTTTGTTTGTAAATAGTATAAGTATAGCAAAAATAAATATTTTTGACATATTTTTTTTTAGTTTTCTTAAAATTTTAAGAATTTTTTTATGGCCGGATTCAGATTCGACACACACAAATAACTACTTTTTTTTTTAGAAGAAAAAGAAGCAGGCATAATTTTGCAGTCTAATATAAATTATCAAAGATTGAATTATTTAAATATGTAATCGTGAATTAATAATCTTTCGATAAAAACAAACTTACACATTTAATAGATATTTTATGTATCTGCTTTGCTTGGATTCCAACTGAGATAATCGATTTGAGTCGCAGCCTGGTACTCCTTCATCAAATATTCCACGACTTCCCGCGAGTTGTCCAGTTCATCAAGATTATCTTCAAACATTTTTTCCTTGCGAAATTGTTCCAAAAATGCCCCCTTTTTTCGCAATTTGTCATATTGTTGTAAAGCTCTATCAAACAGCTGAGACATTTATTAATTTAAATAAAGTTATTAATTAAAGCTTTAATGATATACATTCTTAATTTGATTTATTAATTTATTTAATTTTCAATATTGTGCAGTGTACATTCTATGCTATACCAAGTATTAATGGTAAATTTTGATAACTGATTTTTGATGACTGAATATCAATTAATACGTACCGATGATATATTAGTATGATTAGCCAACATCAAGCCAGACACGCGATGCGTACATTGTATGTAAGGAGACTTTCTTGAAAGCGCTACTTGTATACTAGCTGGACCCCAAGGTATGAACTGTGCGAGTTTTCGTTCTCTAATTCTTTGTAAGGATTTGTGCACTTGCGTCGGATCTACTTCACCCTATTAATTGTACATTACTTTTATGTTATATATATATATAGATCGATAGCTAAATGGATAGATAATATATGATGAGGATATGAAGATAATTTAGATAATAAGATGCTTGAAAAACAAAAATTAAAATTTTTCAAGAAAAAATTCTTTCACAAAATTCTTACATAAAATTTAAAGAGCACAATTTTTTAATATTATCAGTTTTTGCACAAATGGCAACTTTTCAATGCATTTCAAGAATAACTTTATTTTTGTTCAATAATCCATATATTTTTATTGTACTTTTTTCTATTTATTAATCTATATAAATATATCTTGTGTGTCTGAAACATTTTTCATTTGCTCAATATATTTCCAGATATTCAAAAAGAACTTGGCGAATTTTTCAATCTTTATCTCACGATATCTGGATAATTATTCATTGGTGGAAAAAAATAGTGAAGAACTTTTCGACTCACTTTGATTTCAAGAATGAGTTTTCTTTGAAATAATTGTTTATTTAAAAATTTTAATTCTTTTTGAGATCTTAGCATAAAACTAAGTACTCTCTTACTCTCTAATTTTTAAGCCGAAAGACTTTCACACAATTATAATTTCATTTTAAAATTCTGTACAATTTTGCTCAATTTGACTCAAAAACGTATTGTTTCTAAAATTCTTACCTGAATTATATTCAAAATAGATATATAACAATGAGATGCATTTCTATCTAGTGCTGTAGAAACCATCATATTTTTCGGTTGCAACAATCGTCGCATTACGTCTAGGACAGATGTTTTCCTCACAGATGCACCCTGTTTTTGAACAACGGTTTTTATGAGTACATACGTACACTATAAAAAGACCGGGTTAAATACTAACACAACATAACACGGTTGGCAACCCATCATATAAATTAGACTTTATATAAATGACAAATTTATATTTAATAAATAAAATTAAAAATTAAACGTTTACACTTAATGCCAAACATGAAACAAAAACATATAGTTATATGAATATTTATACTTTTAATATGTGCAAAATTATTAAATTTTATCCGTATATGAATCATTAATTACCTCTTGATCAGTCGTAAGTGGAGTGTATCCGGTCATTAAGAAATGTAGGCGAGGAGTCGGTATGAGCGGTGCAATCAAACCAACTAAATCATTATTCATATATGAAGGATATCTCAAAGTGGTTGTACTGACAGACATGATTGTCGAGACAAGTTTATTAATTTGCGTGAAGGTGGGATTGTTAATGTGTAATCTATCCGAAGCGATTCGATTTAAAGCGGTGTTATCCAGAACCACCACACAGTCCGCACATTGAGTCAATCTCTTTAATGTTAATAACGAATTATATGGCTGTACTACAACATCGCTGCAACAGAGAAAAGTACAATATATACAAACATTAAATACAAGTACATTTATTATCAGATAGACATATACCTTATTTCATCTTGATTAGGAAAGACACTGTACGTCTCGATTAATTTTTTAGGAAACCTATCGGCGAGAGATTCCAACATGAAGGATCCCATGCCAGAACCTGTGCCTCCTGCTATAGAATGGCACAATACAAAACCCTAGAAATTTAATATTTTTTCAAGATTTTATTTTACCATAAAAAGAGATCGATGATAGTTTGTACTCTTGAATGCTTTCTATTACAAAATGCAATCGATATAGTGTGATACTATATCGTTACAAGCTTTCCTGTTAATCGTTTGCCTGCTAACAACTTAATTAGTTGATACAACTGCGAAACAGAGTTGAAAATTGCTGTTGGAATCATAATTGTCAATTTCAGTCATTTTACAAATTTTGTATTAAAATTTTATGTAGCATTAAATACAGAAAAAATAGTTTTTCTTTAGTCTGTTAACTTTTCTAAACTTGATTAATAAAGTTGGCATTTAATAGCAAGCAATAAATTATTAAAAATACAATGAAACTTATTGCTATATTGAAAACTGACCTCTCTTATTATTAATTAATAATTGTAATAGATAGATATATAATCTGTTTTACTATTATCTACTATATACTGTAGTTGATTTAGGATAAACGATAAATGTATGCAATAAAGATTACGATATACAATCAAAATATTGTAGTGTAAACTAGTAATTATGTCTAAAATTAAAAGATGCATCAAGTATTCATACATTGTATTCAATTATATGATAGTGTTTATCTACATCTTCTTGTTAAAAACACCATTTTTTTTAAATACACAAGATTAAAATTATATATTATAAATGTTAAAATGTAAAAATAGGAATAACGTAATTACCTCCAAGCTGTCACTGCCATCAGCTTCTCTATCTAGTATATCAAAGATTTCTTCTTGCAACTTTTCACCTTGATGATAGCCTGATGCCCAGTTATTTCCAGCACCACCACCATCTTTCGACACGTAGACATTTTCAGGATTGTATAGCTTATAACAATTGAACAATTTTTTATTTCTACACTGATTACAGCATAATAAACTTATATATTATAAGAATAATAACTGTATATATTACCTTAGAGTATGGAGAATTCATAATAGTGTTGATTACTCTAGGTTCCAGATCCAACAACACAGCTCGTGGTATATAATGCTCATCGTCTGACTGATAAAAAAAAACATCCTTTCTGTCTGTTCCTTCTGTCGCATAATCTTCCAAGATTCCTTCTGGACTGATGCCATGCTCCGCACATAATCTTTTCCAGAACTCAAATCCAACTTGAAACATAGATAGAGTATATGAATACAAATAATGTAGTCTCGTCATATGTTACAACTTAAAGATTGTAAGTTATGTATAATAATATATAATGTTTATTGTTTCAAAGTTTTCCATGTATTTATGAATTCAGTTGAGCATACAAAATTTCTAAAGTATTTACAAACGGATCATTAGATCCGTACAAACGGAAAGTATCATTGCTCCTTTTACAACAAAATTTACAATGTATATGAAAAAAGGAAATATATCTATGGCAAAATATCATGTAATGATACCTTGATTGCCACATTGGCCAAGCTGTAAGGTTATCATCTCGCACGGCATTTTGGCATTCAAATAAATCACTTCTTGTCGAAGAATTAAACAATTCTTCAATTTAACGCGTAAAAAATACAAGACAGCGCCGACATCGGTGAATTATGACTGTGCTCGGAAAATATTATTGTTGAAAAAACCTGTTAAATAAATCAACTTTTATCGAACACTTGATAAGACCCTTACTTCTAGGGGTGCGTTCAGAAACTACACTCTGGCTGAAAGCTTTTGTCTATTGTCTATAGTATACGTGACGTATCCTATAGAGTGTAAAGTGTTTTGCACCAATCGGAGAAGTATAAGAGGTTTGTTCTTTATAGCTGAACTGGCTGTACTAGTTCAGAGGGTATCTTTTTCCCTCCACATTGGAAGAAGAAAGATAAACTCTGAACTAGTGCAGCCAGTTCAGCTATAAAGAACAAACCAATAGTACTTAGTACAACGGTGTAAACTAAGGCCCTGCGCACAATAGAGAAAATATTAGAAATAAGAATAATGGAGGATTCACATGCGTCCAATGTCCGACGTACGACGTCCGATATACAATCATATATGTAATACTTCTATATTGCTCAAAGCGAGAACAGTGGTTCCATAACCACGGCGCAGACATATGTTTTACCTCTTTTTCTAATGGGTACTTACCTCTATAAGCGCATGCGTGTAATTTTTATCTCAGCCAATAGGAAAACATTTCTTCAGCTATTTCCGTATGTTGAAAACGTTGTCATGTACATAGCTGGGTATGTTACCAATAAAGTACACGATGTAATAGATTGTACAATATGTAAATCCCAATTATTAGGTTCGAAAATGCCATTGCTGTCGGCATTGAAAAATAAAGGTCCATACGTTATGCCATCGGATGATGTGTGTGCCATATGTCGAACATCTGAGCGAATTATTAGACACTTTTCAAATTCTTTGATGCAAAAAAATATTAAACATATTTTAATTGCCAAATGTTTTAATCATATTGGAATACCATTCGACAATGATATGAATAATCATGTCATGACACAAGACATATTTGATAATCACAGAGTGCAATTATGCAAATATGTAATTGATTTATACATTAACGTTAGATTATTTCATGAATCAAAACAAATGTCAGAAAAAGATCAATATTTACGAAGTTTAATAAATTAATATTGTTTAAAAACTTGTAATAAAAAAAATATGATTATTATTGTCATTCTTATTATTTCATAACCTATAAAGAATTTAAAAAAATATTATTTTAATAGTATTTTAATATTGTTTTAAATTTTAAAATATTATTATTACTTTATATTTGTCTAATAAATTAAAATAAATTGAAATTTATTTTAATTTTTGTAATAATATAAAATATATGTATACAATAACACATTAGATGTACCTATATATATATAAATAAATATTTTTACACATGATTGTAAATATTTTTACAGATTTTTCTCAGAATAAATATAAAGTGTTATTTTTAACGTATGAAAGGTATTTGAAAAACCCGCCACCTATCATGCATGCGCACAATGATCAAAGTACCAATTTTCATGTTCTTCTGTCTCTCTTTTTTGGGACACGTTCCACTTACGGAAAAGATGCTGGGTGTTTACGATAATTCAAATTCGAGTTATAGCGTTTTCGAATAAACGGGGTTTGAACGATCTAGGGTTGATCAATCACTATTTTACTATAAATGCAAGTCTTTCATTGGTGGAGAGGTTGCAATGACGTCATTAACCAATCTTGGGTCGTTCAAATCCTGTATAATCGAAAACGCTATTAGTTTCACTAGGGCCAAAAAAATGAGATAGACATAACCATCTAGAACCTTTATGATTCATGACAACTCGACGCTGTCTTGTATTGGGTGTTTACGATAATTCAAGTTCGAGTTAGTTTCACTAGGACCGAAAAATAAGATAGACATAACCATCTAGAACCTTTATGATTTATGACAACTCGACGCTGTCTTGTATTGCTTGAGTTAAATTCATTGAATTTGTTGAGTTTATTGAGCAAATTTTATTGTAATAGAAAAATGTCATTTATTATTATTATTAATTATATTATTATTATAAAATTATATTATATTTATATCATTATTATATTATATTATTATATTATATTATATGTTATTATATTATATTATATTATTATTATATTAATTATATTATTATTAATTTATTAAAGAGGTATACCAACAAACATACCAACATTATTTGTTTCTTTCATAGACTGATTTGCAGTTAACATTTTTCTATTACAATAAAATTTGCTCAATAAACTCAATAAATTCAATGAATTTAACTCAAGCAATACAAGACAGCGTTGAGTTGTCATGAATCATAAAGGTTCTAGATGGTTATGTCTATCTCATTTTTCGGTCCTAGTGAAACTAACTCGAACTTGAATTATCGTAAACACCCATTAGAAGTAGAAAATTGATGTCATTTCATCTCAAAACAAGAAAATGAAATGGATTAACGTATCAGAAATTAAGAAATAAGAATTAGAAATAATTAATCCATTCCGTTCTCTTGTTTGAAGTAAAATAATTCCAAATTACTCTTCCTAATATATTAATATTTATTCTAATTCCTAATATTTTCTCTATTGTGCGCAGGGCCAAGCTTCTGAACGCACCATAGGACCTCTAGCGGGAGCACGTTTCCGACGCCATCTGTAGAAGTGTATAGTTTAATGCTCTTTGCAACCATTTTTGATAACAATACTTTTAAGGTTATTTTTATCGGTATGTCATATAAGATTTTATATGATTGAAATGATTAAATATATATTAAAAATTAAATATTAACGACTGAAAATCCATAAAATTGAAAACAAAAGTTTGATTTACCTGTCATCGAACATATGATTAGATGCATATAACGAATTTATATGCGTATAAATAATTTTTTTTATACCGCTCACACATACATGTTAACACACTCACGGTCAGTTTGCTTTTTACATTCTTGTAGGTTTTTGCGCATCAAACCACTTGATATCACTCGAAGAATCAATCATTCTTAGTCAGGTAATAAGTTCAAATTCCACAGTTGTTATGCTGCCACGCAATTGTGAATCTTTTCAAGGCGAATAAATCAAAGCTCTTGAAGGACAAAAGTCAACTGATCGAAATACAATATATCATTTTATTCTTTATTAAAATTGTTGTCCGTCTTTTTATGATATCTTATTAATTCATGTAGTAACGAAACTGCAAATTGCAAAGCTTAACATTGTAACATTGTTGATTTAAAATTTAAAATATAAATATAATAATAATGTAAAATAAAAGTCAAATTTTACTATGAAAAATAAAAATACACTCTTAATATTATTTGTTAAATCAATTTTTATTAATATAGTTTTCTTGAAAATAATTTTACTATCAACATGAAAAAATTATAATAATATAGTATTTTTATCAAGAAAAATATAAAAATGTGCATTTATACCTGTTATCGAATAAACAAAGAATAGATAATTATATGATATATAGATGCTAGTATACACTGGTGGATCTTAGAGGCGAGGGGGGCTTAACCCCCTCCCCTTTCCAAGTTAAAAAAATATCAATTTTGCTGGATCCGTTTCAAGAATCTTGGTAAAAAATGCATTAAACGTTAAAGCAGGTTGAACCCTCTCCCCATCCTTCCCTCATTATCGACATCAGGATCCGCTAGTGCTAATATATATATATATATAATATATAATTATAGCTGCTCCTTGCTCTTGTATCAAGATCTATAATCATCTTGTACATATCAATAACAGATTACACATTTATATAATTAAGAATGCATAGCTAGCTGATGTAACTAAATTCTTCAGCGATTAATATATCTACTTATTATACATTGCTCATAACAAGATTTTATTTTTTAATAATGTGATACATATTAATATCGGAGAGAAGCCTGAGAGGAGCCGCCCGTTTTTCGTATGACGCTTTTTCTAGACTTACACTAGCAGCGCGTAATGGATGTGGCTATGTAGTTCCGGGCAGGCTGTAAAATGGATGTACCCCTCTCAGGCTTCTCTCTGCTCTTATGTGTTTCCTGCGAGTCATTCGCTTGTTACTATCCAATTGTTGCACATACTGAGAAGACGTAGAAGCGATACTGTGCGAGCCGTCTCAGCTTCAAATTCCCGAATTGGTAAGAGAAAAACGGCTGTCGAAGATGCCAATTTTATTACTGAATCAGATATATTGCACAACTTAAGATATTACATAGTTGTTCCTTCAATCCTCTTTTTGTATTTTTGTATTACAAATTTAATATTTTTAAATAATTTAGATTTTGATACAATACGTTTTATCAATACGTCGCGAGCGATCCGTCTAGATTGAATTAATCCCTTAAGTATATTAATGATGCATATATATGTATTATTTGAACAAAAAGTATTTTTCTAAAAAATTTTTGCAAAACAGTATCCATAAGTTTTTATGACCGATAAATTTGAACATTTGAATATTTAATCAAAATTTACAAATTTAATATGGCAGATCTGATACAGCAAGCGCAGTTTTGAAAACTTATTCTATCCGTATCCATATCACATTGTATTTTTAAAGATTTTCACGATTTTTTAATTCGAATCTAACGTTAAAATTTTGAAATTTAAAGGAATATTATTTTTATCAAACATAAAATAAAATTTATTATATTTTGAAATTTTTATTTATTCATCAACAATGTGAGCTGTTGCAGTTAACAAGATTATATTATTATTATATTATTAATACAAATATATCTATTTGATAGAATAATCGGCACTAAAATTTGTCTAAATTATGCAAGACTTGTAAAATATGTATTATAATTTCATCGATTTTTGCACAAGTTTTTAGATTGTTACTGTAAATCTTAGATTTTTTAAAATTATTTAATAATATTATATTGAAAGTAAAGCGCAGAGTAGTTTCTCTAACTTTGTACGTTTTCTGTCACACATATTCGCATTAATTTAAGACATACGTAAGGCGTCTTACAACACCTTATATTTCGGTTTAGAACTGCGGACTTTTAGCATTTTTATGGACACATTATGGTTACATATTTATATAACATTGTTAGTATCGTTAGTGATTGTTAGTTAAAAATCTAAAACTATAATTTTATTCATTTATTATTAATATTCCGACTTTACATTTATTTTTTCATACTTGACATTTACATGTTAGTATATTCTAATTACATTTTAAATCAATAACTGTAACAACTTTCATATTACTTTCTTCCATTATTTTTATGGAAGAAGAAAAAATATCTCCCATAGCAAAACAAATCACAGAGAGTACATATGATACATATAATACTTATACATATAATTCTCGTGATTAAATACGAGATAGATAGCACACGTGTCACATAGCGGCAAGCGAACTAATGATTGAATACTGTTTTTGTAATGTTTTTGGAATGTTGTAATATTTCTGCGACATTTTATGTCATATTATGATATTACTGTAACTTTCTAATAATGTCACAGTAACATCACAATTTTTCAGTGACCTTGTGACTCTATTGTGATGTCACTGTGACATGTTGCCATGGGGGATTGTTCAGAGTCACTATTCTAACACTTTCTTAAATTATTTTTAATTAGTATCCAGCGCGTTTGTTTTTTTTGTTGTTGCAGACTGCACAAGTATGTGATTGTACAGAGTGTCCCATAAAAAACGTTTGAAATAATATTGCCAGAGTGTTTATTCTATCTTACAAGCTGCTTTGTAGAATTTGAATTGGAAGTCAGTTGCTACAATGATATTAGATATGAAATCTGTTCTTTTCGCGTATTGTGTAATCACAATATTCGCAGAGGGAGAATCACAATTCTGGCAAGGTACATCGTTTCCTCAAAACGATTTAATAAACTTTCTCTTCCCTAAAGATCCAAATTTAGTGAAAGTAAGAAAAATTGAGCAAACCAGTGGAAGTGAAGCAGTAGTATTAGATTTCGTAAGTATAACAAAATTTTTGATCAAACTTTTATGTATCTCTTTAATTAATTTTAATTAATCTCTGATGATGATATTATATAATGATAATTTATGATGATAACTTTTATCACATCAGATTTCAATACTTTGGAAGGCACGACAATAATTAAAATAATATTTTTCCCCAATATAAAAAAAAGTAAAAAGTATTCAAAATTATTAATTTAATTAATAATTTTCTAATAAACAATAAACAATCGCTAAAATTTTTTGAAAATTATTTAGAGTTGTGTATTTGACAACATATATTTTGAAGTATAAACTTTATTGGAACTGCTTTTTCGTAAATGCGCTTTTACTACACGGAGAAAATTTTTATATCCAAAAATTACTATGTACGGCAGTAACCGCGGATTATGAAGTCGCGGACCGAAAATTTTTACTATATTTCATATGTGAAAAACATAGTAAAAATTTTTATAATTCTTTCATGGTTCGCAGCTACTACCTAGTACATAGTAATTTTGGATATAAAATTTTCTCCGTGTATATATATTTTTTTACATAGATTGGTTTGGTTGAACAATATGGTTATCCCGCTGAAGAACACAACGTTACAACAGAGGATGGATACAATCTGAAAATACACAGGATACCCGGCAGCCCATTATTGAATAATAAAAAAAAGAAGAAAGTTGTATTTGTGCAACACGGCATTTTTGCTTCATCTGATAGCTGGGTATTGTTCGGTCCAGGCAAAGATCTTGGTATGTGCTTACTATAATAACAAATTATGCTTTTTTATGTATATCTTGATATACATCCAGCTTCTATATCTTTATTATTACCTTACTTAACATTCAGCAACTCCAAATCAAATATTTATCTAATCATTGAAGAAAATTTTTTTAGCTCTACTCTGTATTATGACTTGAGAAGAACTTACCACGTTTGGGTGCTCAGAAAAATGCTTGTTCTAAATTTTAGAAAAAAATAACGCTATATATCTATCGATTTTGTTAATTTTGTGATATATCTTATGTACAATTTATTTACACAGCAACTGATTGTTATTTTATGTTACAGTATTTCTATTAGCCGACCAAGGATATGATGTATGGATTGGTAATATTAGAGGAAATACTTATTGCAGATCGCATATAGAATGGACGACATATGATCGTAAATTCTGGCAATTCAGGTAGAATAGTACATTAAAAATTGTTTTAAACGGCTGATTATATAATTAACATATTATTTTTTTATCGATTAAAGCAAATTTCTTTTAATTATTTTTAACAATTTGACAATTTTTTTTGCATTTCAAAAAACTTAACAAGACTTAATTATAAACCTCTACTTTCTATACAAGATATTCTTCCAGAGACTTGCACATATTATCGATACAGTACTGATACAATAGTACAAACCAAAGATAGTTGGGGAAAATGTTATAATTTTTGTTTTACAGCTTTCACGAGATAGGAACAAAGGATCTGCCGGTCATGATAGACTATGCCCTTAATTATACGAAACAAAAAAGTTTATTATATATTGGTTATTCAATGGGAACTACTACACTGTTTGTTCTCCTGTCAATGAAACCGGAGTACAATGAAAAAATAAACATGGCCATCTGCCTTGCTCCAGTTGTTTCATGGATAAAAATAACACCCACAATGCAGGAAATTGTTAATATAACTCCAGCACTTAAGGTAGAAACAAAAATCAATTTCTGATTAATATATATATATATATATAACTCAAATATTAACTATGATTTTTAAATACCAATGATATAACAATACATAAAACTAATTAGTATGTTTTAATACATTTGCTACATTATTTTTTATTTTTATTTTTGTTTTTTTTTAAACATTAATAAACATGTATAAAGTTAATATTATTACTGCATGTTTTTTATTCATTTTAACGATCTACATGGCGCATACATGCTTTATATAATTTATAACAAAAGTTATAGGAGCTCGAGCGAAAGATTTAAATATTATTGAGATATGATAATTTGAAATATTTTTAATTATATGAAATTATATGAAAAATATAGATACCATTTTGCTGTTTAACTTGATGCAAGACAGGATTCTGTCTTTTAATTTTAATGATTTTTTTTTTATTTTTCAGGAATTTCTTGACAAGTATGAAATATACGATCTTTTTCCACAATCTTTGACAACCATCACGGCAGGAAAGATATTATGTAACGATGAAGCTATGACTCAAGCTATTTGCACTACAGTGATTTTTCTACTCGTCGGTTCTGATCCAGCACAGCTTAATACTGTAAATTAGATAAATATTTTAAATATAACATTTTACGCAGAACGTAATACAATCTATAAATTTGCGCAAATATTGTTCTATTATTGTATATTGCCACATGACTTAACGATTCTTTTCTATTCTTTTTTATTTTTTTTTAATTTATATTTATTTTTCTATATTTTTTCTTTTTTTTAATACTTTTATTTATCTTTTTATGTAAAAATCTAAATAATTTTTATAAAATTTTAAAGTAATTTCTTATTCAAAATTGTATCTTTGATTTAAATGCAGTAAGAAATGGTATCTCAATTTCTTTATATTTTGATCCCCCTTTTAACGCTGTAAATTGTATGTTAAAAAATAAAATATTTTTTAATTTTAAAATTTTCTTAGATAGAAAATTTCTTCAGAATACTGAGAAAGTTGTTAACTTAAAACTGAAAATTAAAAAATTAGAAGCTGAAAATAAAAAGCTAGATAAAGTTGAATCTAAATTCTAAAACCTAAAAGATAAAAATCAAATTACAGTTTCTACAGTTAATTGCTAAAAATTAAAACCAAAACTAATACATAAACTGTATATGAAGTGAGTTTTCGATTTTATCAAATGTGATAGAGTAAATTGCATAAACATTCGAATTATCCGGTGGTTTATTCGTTAGTAATGTAAAACTTTTTTGTTGCAGACAGCGCTGCCACACTTAATTTCCTATTTTCCAGCAGGTGCTTCTGTACAAACATTACATCATTATTACCAAAATATTGTTAGTAGTAAGTATTCCCTTCTACTTTAAATGTAAAGTAATGTACAGATGTATTTTACACATAATCTTAATTTTAATTCGAACTTGATGAGTAGTGGACTCCTTTCTTTTTCGAATCTCTGATTTTTTCTTAGTTTTCCACTCAACTTATCAAAATGCAGGATTTAAAAGTGAAAACTTTTATAGACTTTTTTTTTAATTCAAATCTTTTGTCCCCTTCTTTAATCAAAACTTAAACAAAGAATTGTATTTGTGTGAAACATTTTTACATGATATTTAAGTTTTTTCTGTTTTAATAATTTTGCCTTCTTTCTCGCACTCTTGCGAGAGCATTAATATACTTACTTCGGAGGAAACATCATTTTCATCAATAAATAAAATACGATAGTAGAAATACTGGACCTGATTCCTGAGTCTTTCGTGAAATTGAATCTTGCATCTAAAAATCGAAAATGCCACTATCTGACAAGCACAAACAGTTTATGAAAATTTTATGAATCACATCTAATAATCCATATTTGGTGAAAAGAAGGTAGTCTAGCGCGCGCTCTCTCTCTCAAACACACGCACACACGCGCGCGCGCAACATGTATATATATGTGTATATATATATATACATATATATATATATATATATATATGAATTGATTATTACAGATAAGTTTCGAGCCTATGATTATGGAGTCATTAGCAATTACGAGCAATATGGACAGAAAATGCCTCCAAATTATGATTTGAAGAAAAGTATTGCTCCGATATTTTTATTTTATTCGGTCAACGATATGATTGTTACAAAAGAGGTAATTTTCTCTTTCTAATTTCTAAAAATTTTTTTTTTACAAATAATAGAATAGAAAAAATAAAAATTTTTACTCATGATTAGGTATGATAGTATACTGAAACGATACATAATTGTTACCAATCAACTTGATATAAAATGTGAAAAAGAGAACAATTTGTTGTTCCATGATTAATTTTCTATTCTCATGTATAATTCTTGTTATTATCATTTTTTTCTCATTATGAAGTAGTTTTTGTTGTATTAATTTGTCCGAGATCTTTTTTCATTTTCCATTGCTTATAATTTAATAATTAGTAACTACACATTTCGTTTGAGATAAAATTGATTTTATATTGATTAAAGAATATGCCTGTAAAGCTTAGTGATCTATTTTGGAAAATTGCATTTATATATAATTTTATTTTTGCAGAATGTGTTCGATCTAAGCAAACGCTTGCCAAACGTTGTTCTAACCGAGGAAATCCCATTTAAACTATTTAATCATGCAGATTACCAATGGGCACTCAACGCAAAAACTCTTCTATATGATCGTGTGTTAGAAGTGATGCAAGAATTTCATCAAAATGTAACTATGAAATGATTGACACAAAATTATGTCATTGTCGTATGTTGAATAAAGAATTTTATGATGTTATTTTCAGTTTTCAACTGAATAAATTTTATGGAAGAAATACGTACAATTGTTGCTCATGTTTTTATTGTAATTATAATTTCCTTATCTCTCTATTACGTAAGAAATTGTTATATAGATAATCAACACGTATCGATGCTCCTCATTCGATTAATCTGTCGGATGAAATCTTTTGACAAAATTTATAGTTAAGCTTGTACAATTTATGTCGAGGTCAACTCAACATTGTGCTTTCCAGCAATTCTCTGCGTAATTCTCCCAACACCTCAAGTATTGGTGTGTACAATTACATAATACATATTAACAAAACTATAGTTTTGGAACCTCCATATATTTAACAACCAATACAAATTAAATAATTATTAAACTAGCATTAAAATGAGAACGAAAGGCTTGATATTGAATTGTATATAGAAATTAATTTTTGAAACCGCAGAGAGTTGAAAGATACACATAGATTGTATATGTTTAAACATAAGTTTTGCATACATATTCCATATTCGAACCCTGCCCTTGTTGCGCGCAACTGCAAACCTGCGCTATTTTCGACATTATTATACGAATATACATAACAGTAAAATGCAAACGTGAAATAATCTCTACGTCATGCTGTCCAACATTCTATTCTTAAATAAGGAGATTATTCGAAAGAGCAGACAAAATGTTCACGAGTAATATGTTGATACAGCCTCTTAATTTCGGTTTTTTCTTTCTATATTGAATGCATTTTATTATACTTATCTGTTTTAGTTGTTACAAATATATGTTTACATTATGCAACAAATTAAAAACAAAATGACAAGCAATTTTATTTTTTCTTCTTTTATCACACACAATCATAATTGATTATACAAATATAATTAAATAAATGCGGAAATACAGAAAGAATTTTGTGCAAAAAAAAGACATGTTTATTATACAACATAGAGGTATATTTAGAAATGTTTTAAATTTGAAGACATAAAGTTTTTCTTAAGAATGAAACGTTTAAGCATGACAATCTTACTTTATAGAGAATATAGAATAGATGAGTCAAATTTTGATGATAAATCAAATTTTGTTAATGAATTTTGATTCAGATTTTCTTAGTATATCTAATGAAATTATAATCCATTCATTCATGTTTCCGACTTTCAAAGTACACATCTTCGAAAAACATTAAATTAAATTGTATTGTGATGTCTGAAATATTAATGACACGTTAGTCTCATTGAAAAAAATGAAGTATTTTTCATCTAAAGGATTTTCACAAAGTACGATATCCACACGATAGGTTTTTGAGATCACTAAATTTGAACCTCTAGTCAAAATTATTGAATACAATATGCCAAATCTGATATAACAGCCGGAAATTTAAAAACTTATTTGATTCTCTCATCAACCTTGATTTTTATAAGATATTATAATCTTTGAATTCGAATCTGACATTATGATTTTGAAATTCAAGACAATACACTATTCTTATAAAACACAAAATAAAATTTATTATACTCTGAAATTTTTATTTACACATCATATTTAAATTAAATCAAAAAACTTACATCTTAATTTTGAAATTAAAGATTCTTAAATCATTCTGAAAAAAATGTTGATATAGAATCTATTTCTCGAATTGCAACATCGAATATCTTTCTAATTGCCACATTGAATTGTAATTCAGAATTTCAAAATTTTGGTTACAAATTCTAGTTAAGCGCTCCTTAAAAAAAATCCGCATATATACAATGAAATATTTACGTGAATTTAATTGTTTCTTCATAAAAATCATTTTGGGTAATAAAGCGTTTTTATTTCTTAACATTAGGATGTTGAGTAGCTTGATCATATTCTGTTAACATAAAATCGTATAAATATATATGTTCATGTTTATGTGAATACGTAACACACATAGCACACGTACACGAACGCGCGTATGTATTTATCTTTATACAAAGCGTCCCATTTAAAATGATACACATAAATATTTAAAAAACAAGACATTTTTAGAAAAAAAAAAAAAAAAATCGCACAATGTTTATCTGAAACTTTTTTCCAAAAGTTGGCTCGTTTTCTAAATATTTAGGTTCATTTGCATCATTTAAGATGGGACATCCTCTCTCTCTCTCTCTCTCTCTCTCTCTCTCTCTCCCTCTCTCGCTCGTGTGTGCGCGCGCGCGCGCGCGCGCGCGCGCGTGTGTGTGTGTGTGTGTGTGTGTGTGTGTGTAAGCGCGCGTATAAAGTTGATTATAAAAATTAATTATATAAATTAATTATTAAATATTCAAACTAATTGTATATAATATTTTATGCATACAACTTATAGACAGACATGCATTATATTTTAAGATATAGCGTTTTACAATTTCAAGTAATAACGAACAAGAATCTTTATAAGAAAGAAATCAATTTCAATAAATGTTTTTCTTTTTTAATGTAACAGGCTATTTTCATCAGCATCAGCAAAAGATTTTCTTACTTATTGTAATTTGAATTCAATGTATGTAATTATCTATTCATTATGTAACTATTATATTTTGACAATATTAATCAACAAAGAACACATGCGACGTTGCGAATCGCCATCTTAGGAGATGCATTGCAGCAAAGGCAATCTTTTCGGTACTAATTGTTAGCGCTCGCATACAATATCAAATTTGTACCTCGTCTCGACGGTTTAGTTTCTCAAATTTTTAAATCTTGATCATATATAATCAATCCTAATTAACATTTTTTCGCCATGTTTAATTACCTAAAATGTATAACTTCTACGGTATTTTAGACCGTGCTTACAAATCTTAACAGTGTTAGCTAAATGTTACAACGAAGTATCCGATGGTGGTGTATCTTCGTGATGGCTAATTTGGGTTAAAGAATGCTGCAAAGCGTCAGGTGTTAACCATTCCTTTGGTAAACAACGTTGAAGAAATGGTACGCATGAACTGAAATACGCCAGACGATTAACCCAACCAGGTATTTCCTGTCCACACAAAATCTGAAATATATTAATTGATGTTATCTATGCCATCTATGCCCATCTGTTAACTCCTCAAGTGTTAATGACGCATTTGAAAACCGACCACTAATGTTAATGACTTATAACTTTGATTAATATTTTCAAATTGAATGTGGCAGACCTAATATAAACGTAAACGTAAACTTAAAAAATTATAGTTGTTAAGTTATTATTATCAAACTTGATTTCTTATAGTCTTTGAAATCAAATCTAACATCAAAATTTTAAACTTTAGAAAAACATTATTTTTATATTTTATATTTTTATAAAATAAATCTTTTTTATAACACAAGATAGAATTCAATATATTGCAAGTTTTTAATTTGCATATCACTTTTAAATTCAGTATGTGTAACAATTTTTGAATTTGCTTTTATTTAATTTTTTATTCCTGAATTAAAAAATCTACATTTTAGTTTTCAAATAAAAGGTTTCTAAAACTCCTTTCAAAAAAAGAGCTTTCATCTGAAATCTATTTATGAAACTTTTAATTGCATCATTGAGTTTGCAAATTAAGAATTTAAAAATTTTGGCTGCAAATTTGAATTGAGCGTGTCAAAAAATTCCTCATATACAAATCTTCAATTATTTTTTTTTATAAAAATTATTTTAGGTGATAAAGCGTTTCGATTTTTAACACTTAATGTTAGTATTGTATGGGAAAAGCTATGTACCAATGTAAATTGACTGCTAAAGTGGTTGCAGTTCTTATTCATCAAATGATAACGGTCTCCTCTGAAATCTTTGCCTAATTCCGTAATTATTCTTGACACATCTTCTTCCGTGAAGTCGGTATATCCAATATGAACAGATTGTCTGTACAGAGAAAAGATAAAATTATAGCAATTGTTCGATACAATATTTTTAAAAATGTTCAACTAATATTTATGGAAAATATGTTTTCTCTTAAAATAAATAAAAGAATATAAACTCTTTACCTGTATCTAAACTGTTCGCCCAATTCCTCAGCTACTCTTGGTGTAATTTCAAAAATGCCACTTCTTGGTTGGGAATGACCGCCATACGCATATTCTATAAAAAAAAATATTTGTTTTCTCTAAATTCTTGCTTTATGTTCTACTTTTTGTACGCGATACTTTTACCTGTTCCATATATTTCCACTCCTGAGTGAAACACACCAAGACCGATAGGTGTAGTATACTCGTTTATCCAATACTGCAATCATAACATTCCTTCAGTGAAATTGTATTAAATACAATAAAAAATAATAAATCTTACTATTGTTTATTTTTCTACGAATACTATCATGCAACGTTTGAATATTATAAAACATTTTGAAAATAAATAAATGTAGAAAAATGATGAATAAATAAGATTGAGCTGTTGTTAACAGTATTTATTTTATTTATCATGATATATTAGAAAAATTATGGCTCACCATATCGTAAACATTAAGAATGATTGGTTCGCGAGCCATTTTTGGAATCAATTCTTCACTATCCTGTGGATAACCCAAACAACTGGGGAAGGAGAGATTACAATTAAGGCCAGACGAAAACATCATTGGAAGCTTTGTAATCCAGAATAGAGTTGATTATTAATATCCTAATACACCTAACAAATAAACACACAATCTCATTATTCCACATAAAATCCATGCGCACTAGAAAAGTATAAACTTAATTATTGCAAAAAAACCAAAATAAGTAATAAATCAAATAATTCTAATATTTCAATTCTCTATATTTCAATTGGTTTTTAAAGAGACAAATTAAAAAAATAAAAAAATTGATTTTACTTTTATGCATATTTCAAAAAGACTATTATGTACCAAAAATATAATTAACAAAATGATATACAAAACAATAATATTTTTGTATTAATTAAATAAAAAATATATCTATTCAAAATACTATCCATAAGTAGTTGTGTTAAAATTTTCAGATGTAATCAAATAAATCAATTAAATTTTATATAAGACTTTACATTACAAAATATAACTCAATCAATATACATTCAATATAAATATATCATAGCAATCTTATATATACCAGTGGTACATTTTATTTTGTAATAAAATGTGCCAATTAATAATAAATGCTCTTTTTTAAAATATCTTTAATTCAAAAATCAAATTAATGAATTCACATAATATAAAACATATATTGCTACTTGTACTAATATATAATATACAATGTATAAATAGAAGAACATAACGCAGAATCTATCCCTCTATTCTTCAATGTAAAAAAATAAACGTAATTTATATGCCATTGGATCAGTAAAATAAGAGTAAATCAAATAGTCTATTCTTTTATCACCAGTTTTCTAATTTTTCTAAATAATATCTTGTCTACAAATGCAATACCATCTAAAGAGATAAAGTTCAAGTCTAATGTCTTTGTATAGATATAGTGAAAAATTAACGTGTGTATATATATATATAATGCTTTATATTTGATCACACATGCATCCTCCTAATACTACAAATGTTTTCTCATATTATACTCATATATTCGTATTGTACTCGTATATTAATTTATACCTATTTTGATTCCGATATCTTAATACCAAACTAGTTGGCTTTCCTGTTGAAATAAAGTGCTGCACATCATTCTGGTGTGACCATCCTCAACAGTGGGAAAAATTCATCTATTCTTACATCCATGAATTTGCTTCGCATAATGAAAGATTGCTTTCCAAAGAAGTTACCACCGAATGTAAATAATCATCATTATGATTCAACTATGCTAACACAAATCACACATAAATAAGAAATACAATATATATCTCCAAAAGAAATAATCCCTTAAATATCTAGAAATAATACACAACGCTTCACGTTTTGCAATATTTGGCAGCTTGAATTAATAGCTTTCTTTAACTATAAGATTGATACATCATTGTCACTATTATTAGTAAAAATTTTGTAAACAATTATGTAGCAATCATTCTTCTCTAGAATCGGTAAATGTCACTCACTTCTTCCTTGGTTTCTTATTTGAGATAGAGTGTAAAACGCGTGTATTTATCAATGCGCGCCATCTGATGCTCATCGTCGTTGTCGTCTAAAAAATTGACTTATAACATTTATTACGTTGCCACCCCTTTCTAACTTGCTAGGGAAATTTGACCCTAGAGCCTCTTCATGTTGTCGCTTTTTTCTAACGCGCCAGGGAATTTTGTCTAGGGTCTTATGTTGCTGCTTTCTTCTAAGCCTCGTCGTCTATGAAAGAAAGAGACATAGACCTAACCCTATCCTGCTGTCCTTTTTGTCATCTCACACATTTACGCAAGGCATATGCGGAAAGGCGTATTCCAGTATACATATGGTATATACATATCACGAGTTAAGGGGCGAACTGGTTATGTGGTGTCACTGGATACTACATGTTAGAAAATCGAATAGTGTTGCCAATCTGCATGCCGATTATCATGGCTACATTTAATGACGTAGAGCTGCCATATTTTTTTCTGTGTAGGGCCTGCTAGGGGGTCAATCAAATTGTTGGGGTTCGAGATGGCTATGCGAGATGGTTTGTGATAACCAAATGGTGCGCGTAATAAACAATTGAGGAAGATCGAAAGCAGAGTTGCGTCGTTTCAGCAGGTATGCTCGTATTAATCGAGCGGTTACTCGGCAATCGACGAAGGAAAAAACCTTTCACTTGGATCATCTTCCTACGCGATAGGGAAACTTTACGTCACAAATTCACTTACGAATGATAGTGTAATGTTGTGACGAGGTTATAAACTTGATATTTAGAATATGTGACTGCGTGAAACAACGGGTATTATATCCTCGTGATACTTGATGAAATCAAAATATCAGCGTCGCGCAATTCGTCGTACAGAGCATTGTGCGTGATTTTGTCAAATTCCAGAATCCATCCTTGAAACGCGGTGCCTCGCTTTACTGCACTATTTTTATCTGCCTCTGAGCTTTTTTATTCACGCGTATTTCTCCTGTTGCGTATTTTCGCCGAATATTTTAGCTATCTTTGTAGCAGTTACGTAATTTCCAACGTGAATAATCCCGGTACAATGACCGAGAACGAAGTGAATGAAGCTCGACTGCTTCATGCATATACTAGACGCTGATATATCGGTAGGTACATATCGGTGTACGACATTGACAAAGAAAACCGAGTTTATTCAATCTAGATATCTTTCATATATTGTGGAAGCAAATTTCAAATTATTTTTACTTGACGTCCAAAATTGCCATAGCATAGTTGTAAACAAATTTTTTTTTAGTTAGAATCCGAGTGATACGTGAACATTTTTATGAAGAGAAAAAAATTTCTTTGTAATTTGCCTTTTCTTATTTGTGCTACTTGTTCTTTTTTATTATTATTAATTATTTATTTTAATACCCCCCCCCCTGTATTCTTTCTTATCTTGATTGATTTTTTTAAATTTTTACTTCATGTTTTATAATAAAAAACAATAACAAAGTAACAAACAAAATAACTTCGCAATTTGCTTAAGGAGAAAAATTTGCAAATCTCAATACAATAAAAATATTTTTGTTTTTGGTTATTTCGCAACAACAGAAATGTATTAGATTTGTACAGACTTTAAACTTTAGCGGATAGAAGGAAATTGTTGATTATTAATACATATTTCAAATTGATTATTATAGCAGCAAAATTGTATATTACAGGAATTTTATCAGAGCATGACAATGTGGTATAGAGAGGTAATGAATGCTAATAACAACAATGGAAATATCCGCTATAGATTGTGGTAAGGAACAGCATTATCAACCAAGAGACATGTCGGATTCATCCCAATACCTTTACGGCCATCCGCCTCCTGATATTATGCCGAAAGGACTTCCGAACAATGGTGAATTGATTGTTGTACTTTGTATGATATGTAACTCTCTATAAACAAACAACATTTATATATTCACTTTATACTTGCAAAAATAAGTTTATGTATATAAAGTTAGAGACACATGTTGTAGGCATAGGAGGAAGATTACGCCAACTAGAAGGTCTATTTATCGGTGGTCCTGTCCAAGGTGGACGAGTAGGCCATACTATTTCGATCGAAACACTTATCGATGTTTTGCTCGTGTTGTATGACGAATGCTGCAATTCTTCATTACGTCGTGAAAAAACTGTTTCTGATTTTATTGAGTTTGGTAAGTACTTGATTTCTGGATGTCAAATCCACTGATAACGGCATAAATAAAATATTTAACTACCAGATACATGGATTACATTTTTGGGATTTTTTTTTATTTAGTAAAACCAATAGCTTCATGCATAAAGAGATTGCAATTGACACGAGAAGACTTTGAAATCGTTAAGGTTATCGGTAGAGGTGCTTTCGGAGAAGTATGCGTCGTAAGAATGCGAGGCTCCGACAAAGTGTTTGCAATGAAGATTTTGAACAAATGGGAAATGTTGAAGCGTGCTGAAACCGCGTGCTTTAGAGAAGAGAGGGATGTACTAGTATATGGTGATCGCAGATGGATTACAAACCTACATTATGCCTTTCAAGATGACAATAACTTGGTAATGTTGTTTTTTGTTGCTAGTAGTTGAAAGTGTCGGTAAAATGGATTGTAACAATGCTCTAATAGAGAGTTACTAATGTTTATATAGTATTTGGTCATGGACTACTATTGTGGTGGAGACCTGTTGACGTTATTGAGCAAGTTTGAGGATCGTCTCCCTGAGGATATGGCTCGATTCTACATAGCAGAAATGGTGCTAGCTATAGGTTCTATACATGACTTGCGCTATGTACATCGTGACATTAAACCCGATAATGTTTTACTGGATGCGAATGGTCATATCAGATTAGCTGACTTTGGCTCCTGTTTACGATTATTCGAAGATGGGACGGTACAAAGCAACGTCGCTGTTGGTACACCGGACTATATTTCACCCGAAATATTGAGAGTAATTTCCTGCTACTATTATCGATGTTGTAGAAACTTTTAGTATATGTCTTTTGCGGTGTGCACTTGATGTGTACTTACGTCACTCACGTTGCTTTATACGATCATTACTAATAGGCGATGGAGGATGGTCAAGGACAGTATGGTCCTGAATGCGATTGGTGGTCTCTTGGAGTATGCATGTACGAAATGCTCTACGGTGAAACTCCTTTTTATGCAGAATCTCTAGTCGAAACTTATGGAAAGATAATGAATCACAAGGTAATATTTTTTAATTTCAGATTTATATATTTAATTGGACTATTACACGCTTATGGTACTGCCACAACAAAGATTATAATATAAAATTATAATAATTATAATAATGCTTTCTTTTATAGAATTGTTTTGACTTTCCTACGGACGTTATGTACGATGTTTCTGAAGAAGCCAAAGATCTGATGCGGAAGTTAATTTGCAGCTCTGAATTTAGATTAGGCCAAAATGGAATTGATGACTTTAAGGTAAGTTATGCTGCGACAATTATACCGGCTTATTATTTTTTTTTATTTTATTCTTGCAGCGCCTATACACTTATTGAAGGAAGTTTGACATTTTTATTTAATATTGAAAGTTAACTCTGTTTCGAGAAGCTTGAACCTTAATCTAAATGAATGAAACCTTTGCAAATACGAGTGGTCTTCAACAGATCATTGCAGTTTAAAGATTAATAAGTTGTAACTAGTATTGTCTTTTAGCTTCCACGATGACAAATTAATTTGATTTCGTCAAGGAATGTGTAATTAAGAGATAGTAAAAGATATAAATGCGACTGTTATATGGCTTGCAATGTTTAAATCAATTGTGACACTCTTAATAAACAGACCTCAGTAATCATGATACAATGATGAATGTGAATACATTCCTAACGTTCATCTCGTGCATTTAAAAATGCAGAAGCATCCTTGGTTCGACGGAGTCGATTGGGATACACTCAGAGATAGCACTGCGCCGTACATTCCTGAAGTTTCATCGCCCAGTGACACGTCAAACTTTGACGTTGATGATACGGATGTTCGCACTTCCGATGCTGTACCGCCAGCAGCAAATTCTGCCTTCTCCGCGCTTCATCTACCATTTGTCGGTTTCAGTTTTACACAAGGAAGGTATGAATTGTATCATTTCTTTTTCTTCGTACAATAATTATTTAGCTCTATTTTAGTGTAAGCATTTCTATTTGACGTGATGTAAAGATGTAAAGCCAATTCGACACGTCAGAAGCGTATGTTAGAGATTCTATTTTCCAGTTAATTAATCACACAAGTCAATCGACAAGACAGGTTGTTTCTTTTGCCGGTTGAATGAAATTGGGGGACATTTAACCACAAATTGCGGTTATCGCGAGTAGCGTATCATGTATAACAAATTAATTTACTCTTGTCTTGGAAATATATTTATTACTGGAATTTGATATTGGGATTACAGTTGCATATCGGATCTGGGTTTTATAACCCAGACAGATAAACGTGTGCAATTACTGGAGGAAGAAAATGCACGACTGATGCAAACTATCGACGACATGAAAAATCATAAGGGTATAAGTCATTCTTCACCCGGTATCTCACCAGATTCTAATAATGCAACTAGAAAGCTCCAGGATGAAATAAATACACTCACAAAACGCAATTGTGGTAAAGTTATAGTTAATAAATTACAATAACTTGTCATCTTTCAGTCTCAATGGTATCACAGTATGTTGACATAAAATTTTTTATGTAGAGTTGGAGTCACAGTTGAAATCTATGGATGTTCCACGAGAATTGCGAACTTTGGATAACGGAGACATGACGAAATTCCGGGAATTGGAAAAATTAGTTCGTTGTTTACGCTTGGAGAAGGAAGAAGCTGTTAAAGACAAATTAGATGCACAGGAAAAACTGAAGCTTCAAGACAAGGAATTAAAAGATGCGCTCACGCAACGTAAACTCGCTATGACGGAATATACAGAAGTGTCGGATAAGTTATCCGAGCTGAGACAACAAAAGCAAAAATTATCGAGGCAAGTCCGAGACAAAGAAGAAGAATTGGAAGTTGCAATGCAGAAAGTCGATACTTTACGCCACGATATTAGAAAAGCCGAGAAGCTGCGTAGAGAGCTGGAGAATAGGATTGATGAAGCGATGGCGGAAACCAGCAAAGAAAGGAAATTACGGGAGCGCAGCGAGGAATATTGCAAGCAAATGCAGGAGGAAACGGAGAAAATCAGACAACGTTCTCTTGGAAACGACGCTAGTGCGAATCACGCCTTAGCGACTCAGGAGATTAATAGGTTAAAAGCGGAAGTTGAAAAACTTGAGGTTCAATATAACGAAAACTTAAATCAACAACAAGGCAGATTTAATCTTGAGATTCGGAGTCTGCAAGAACAATTACACGAAGCGGACACTAGACGAGAATTATTAGAGAGAGAAGTGCAACTCACAAAGGAGAAGTTGGATGCTGCGAGATTAGAAAATATCACCGATAGCGAAGAAACTATAAACGAATTAAACAGACGTCACGAGAGAGAAAAGATAATGCTGGTTGAGGAGAACAAGAAGCTTGTATTAGAGCTCGGTGCCCTTACTGACAGCGTTAATAGATTACAAGGTGAAAGAAGACAACTGGAAGACGAATACGAAGAGTTGAGGAATAAGAAGGAAGCCATCGCGCAATGGGAAGCACAGATTACTGAAATTATTCAATGGGTATCGGATGAGAAGGATGCTCGTGGATACTTGCAGGTTTGTTGCGATTTAATTGCACCCTGTCCCTCCCCCCCCTCCCTCACCCTCCTCTTCGTCCGTCCTTAGAAACGACATAGTATAATGAATACAACAAGAGTCATCTTTGCCAATATACTTACAAAAAGATTTTTGTTTTGTGTTTAATTTCAGGCCTTGGCTACAAAAATGACGGAAGAATTGGAATTCCTAAAACACTCTGGCGGAGTGAGCGGCGTTGGAAGTGGCACCACTATGGCGGATAAAAACTGGCGAAATCGTCGATCGCAAAAACTCGATAAAATGGAGCTTCTGAATTTACAGAGCTCTTTGCAGAATGAGATACAAGCGAAGCAAGCGATCTCGGAAGAACTCACCAAGACTCGTTCAGATTTGATAGCTGCACAAAAGTACTTTTTATTGATGAAAAATTACTCAAATTGCACGTGAAACATGATAACAATGTGATCATCCTTTTTTTCCTCTTTCAGGGAATTGAGGGACCTTAAGCAGCGATTAGACACCATGTCGCATGAATTGAAGCGGAAAGATATACAAGTAAAAGAACTACAAGCGCGTCTTGACACCGGGGATGGCTGTAAGTACACTTCAGTTGACAATGTGGAAAGCAAGAAATGCACAAAATCTCGTTCACTATACCGCTATGGGAATATTGCGTCTACCACACTTATTATGCAAGTTGCAGCTGTACATGTTATATATGTAATTTGTAGATGTGTTAATCTCTATTCAAGGGTTGAATGTGCTCTAAATTCTATTTTCATACTATAAAGAGATGTTAGTGCATATTTCACTTAAAGTACTTGATTAAAAGTTTTGGTTAATTATACTTGCATTATCGCGCGGTGACGGCTTTTGCATGCGTGTCTTCGAACCAATGTAGTCTTGTGGGGATATTGGTAAATAGTTATTTATATGCAATTATACACTCGTCAGTTTTATGGCTCGCTCTATAACGTTGATTTATTTATTTTTAATTGCGGTTAAGTTAAAGAGGATTTGTTGAGTATTTGCAAGAAAGATACTTCTTATATATAGTCTTTGTTGGTCAAATACAACACACAAAGGTACATCTGTCTCTAAATCTCTGGAGAACGATGGAATAGCATTTCTTGAATTTACAAAAAATATGGTGCTAAGAGGTGGAAGTAATGAGCTGCAGTACAGTCTCGTATAGTTCCTTACAGCTTATAGTTTCCAATTGATAAAGCAATTGCACTATGAAGATACTGCGATTAATTAATGCAAAATGATAATGTCCTCTCTTAATATAGTTACTTTTAGTTCTCTATCAGTCTAGAGGATTATTCGCGGGCATACCCAATATGTAGTTTCTTCTGTCGAAAATCTTGTCTCGTTCACAGTAATAGTGTTCATAGTAATATTACGCCGTGTATTCTCTTCATTCACATTCTTTCGGTGCGCAATCTATATACTTAGTTGCCGAAATCTTTCTGGTTCCGTTAACTCTGGGCGTGAAATTAGAACACTCGTGTTATCAAATCTTCTCAGTCTTAAGAGACTAAATCCTATTGATCGAAATATTTGATTCGCGAATTTTGGGACACTCTGTATACATCTATTTTATAGCCGTAATATAATATACGTGTAAAAGTGTGAACCGCTCGCCATCACACTTGATTCCGTTCGGTGTGATGATCTGGTTCGTCGCTATGATATGATTGTCCGACTTTTTCTAGACTACAAAATAACTACACTACTGTTTAATACGCCGCACGACGGAACAACAACGGTAATTTCACACATACGCGTTAACTGTGTTTCAAAGTGTAAAGTACAAAGAATTGCGGAGATCGTTTTTACTGGGATCTGTGTAGCATAACAATTCGATTCTGCAGTACGGTATGCGATTCTGATTTTCTAGACTACAAAGTGCCTCTGTTTATTGGCGTAACGAGCTGCGTGTGGGGCCTCTTGTTGCTCATCTTCAAACTATATTTGTGACAGCTGTCTCATCCAGCAGCACACCAAGCAAATCTCCAAACATCGTTAGCACCAAACCCCAACGTATCATCGTACATCAGCCGTCGTCACCCCTACCAGTAATGCGTGCCCCCCGCATCACGACTTGTCGCTTATTAACTAGATTCGTTCCAGTCAACACATTCATCAGTCAGAATGCCGTCGCCATCGTTTCGCCGCCCGGTAAATGATATGGCAACAAAAGAGAGAGAGAGAAAGAGCGGCTTTTTGGATTGGTTGGCCGACTGTACTGCTAATTATAAACAGCACAGAGCTATGTTCCACACCATGTTTTCATTCATCTATTTTCTATTTCTGTGAAAAATTTTAATATCTATTTTAATATCACTTATCTGATTTGTCTTGTCATTCCATTCTTGGCCGAAACATAGCACTGTGTCATTTTTAATAACTTATATGAAAACGATTCGTGTGTTTCGTACGTGCGATATATTACATAATCCTAGTATAATAGTTTAATGAGTCTTGTAAATACATTCTATACTCATAAACGATGATTATTTTTCTTAATTAATCTTTATTTGACCGCTTCATCATTTTAGTTCATTGATTAACAGATATTTGTTGCGTGCATTGCTTGGTTGAGATAGAGTTGAAATTGATATGGCAATATTTTATAACTATTCCCCCATTGATGCAATCTTACAGTAGCTGCATTCGTCTTAAGGAAGCATGTTTAATTGCATGTCGTGGCAAAAAGACAATCAAATTTTGTATTACAAGCACTACTTTATCTCTCTTTCAGTCGAAAAGCATGCATGTGTATTTTATAAATGTTATGCAAAAGGTCTCCAGGTAAGGCGTGTTACGTGTCGCTAAAACTTGAGCACTTTAGTGTTATTTTCTCGTTCGCAAATAATTTACAACCTTTACTAGTATTTTTGCACTCATGCTTTGTGTCATTTATATCTGCCATTTGTGTCTTTTATTAGTTCTAGAACGTCCTACATCACAGATGTCATATCTCGAGCACTTTCTTAAAGAAACAACAAGTAGTACGCGTCATGGAAGTGTCGACAGCGTAGAAGGTGATATCGAGGACAATCGTGCACCTAGTATTACGAGCAGCAAAAGTAATTTGTCTGAACTTAGTATCGTAAGTATCGTAACACGCAAAAATTAACCCAAAGAATTAAGATGAAGAGATTATTAGACTAAAATTGTCGCACTTATTTCTTAAGAATCTTATTTGTCTTCAGGATCCAACATCGCCGTTATCCCATGAACTTTTGAACAAGTCCGCATCTACTCACGGACAAACCAATTTGCAACCAAAGCCTAAATCACATCAATTTCTCGTGCGGACATTTTCAGCGCCTACAAAGTGTAATCACTGCACGTCTTTAATGGTTGGATTAACGAGGCAAGGAGTTGTATGCGAAGTGTGCGGCTTCGCATGTCATATGCCTTGTTGCGATAAAGTACCTTCAATGTGTCCTGTACCCCATGATCAAAGTAAGCAAATTTATAATTACATTTGTGCAAATTTATTATTACATTTTAAATGCAAGTTTACTCGACTCCCCCACCCCCTTCTTTCTCTCTCTTTAAATTAAGCTGCGAAACAAATTGTCAAGAACTGTACATTCATTCATTACATTCGAGATCGTTTTCTTATCGAATATTGCTGCATTTTCTCATCACTATCGTTATTATTATTGTTATTATATTATGTTATATTATTATTCTGCAACTGTTATCACTTGTCATTTCAGCTAAACGGCCGTTGGGGATCGATCCTACACGTGGTATAGGTACTGCATACGAAGGATATGTCAAAGTGCCAAAAATGGGTGGTGTTAAAAAAGGCTGGGTGCGTCAATTCGTCGTAGTTTGCGACTTTAAATTGTTTCTCTATGATATTTCGCCGGATCGCAATGCTTTGCCATCTGTGTATGTTTCGCAAGTTCTGGATATGCGAGACGAAGAATTCAGCGTCAGCTCCGTTCGCGATTCTGATGTAATACACGCTACGAAGAAGGACATTCCGTGTATATTTAGGGTAAAGTTTAAGTCCAATATTCTAATTATAACAACAGTGGACTATTATTTATTTTTGGCAAGTAATCAATTGGTTCGCAAAAATTCCACGTTCACCCTCGTAGGCGTAGAGTCAATACAAAATGTTAAGAATGTTCACGTGTTTGTATCGATAAGGTGAGATATTTGAACAAATCAGCGCGTTCAATAAATTCTATATATTGAATTAAATATATTCGATTTGGACAATTTTCACGATTTCAAATCCATTACTATCGTTTCACGCAATAACGTCTCACTTTTAATCACATTGCATAAGACTAGGAGTCTACTGTGCCTTGTATTTTTTGCTGGAAAAAAAATTTCCTGGTATAATTGTTTCCTTTTTATTTTTCATTTAGATAACGACGTCGCTATTGGAGCCTCCTGGATTGAGAAATCATACATTAATGTTGGCAGATACGGAAAGCGAGAAGACAAAATGGGTGGTAGCTTTAAGCGAACTTCATAGAATTTTAAAGAGGAACAATCTTCCAAACACAACGGTAAAAATTTTAAGCAATAAACTACTTTGCTACTTGGTCGCTACATTTCATTCTATTTTTCTCTCATATTTATCTATTTTCAAATGATTAACCAAATCGGAGGTCGCAGCATTATTTTTTGTGAACGTGAGATATTAATGTTTCATCAATACGTTGTTTTTCTTTCTTGTTGCAGATTTTTCGAGCGAAAGAACTATTGGATAATACCTTAGCATTCATTAAAAATGTGATGTCAGGAGCGATTATTGATCCGGATCGTCTAGTCATTGGTACAGAAGAAGGTCTCTTCTGTTTAGATTTAGATCGTAGCGGTAAGTTTGCGGTCAAAGTTATCCAACTGAAATAAAACTTTGGAATAGCGTTATACAATATAATATGCAGCGTGTGTCAAAAGTTCCGGGACGGCTGGATAATTTGAAAAATACGCATCACAGAGGAAAATGACCTCGACAAAAGTTGTAGGATTTTTCTCGGGCAATCCGATGGTAACCTTAGATTTGGCCTTGCTCGTGACCTTCAAGGTCATTTCAAGGTTAAATCGAATTTTTTAAATAGAAACCCCTATTTTTGATTCCAAAATCTAATAGCTGGTGTCAAGAGCTTTTCAAAACACTATAATGAAGTTATTTTTCATTAAGTACTTTTCGAGTTATGAGGCTTGAAAGTTACAGCATTTTGACATAAAATACAAAATATCTTGTAAAACATTCAATTTTCGGAAATCTTACCTTAATACTTTTATGCACAAAATAATGAGACGAATCAATTGGTATAAAGAAAACACATTGGTTTAAAAAAAAAAAGTATGCAGTCGCATGTTGCAAATTACATATTTTTTCTTGAAAGCAACTATGTGTTTTCTTTA